TTTTATTATATAGTCTTTATTATTATTATTATTATATAGTGTATTTATTTATTTTCGTACATGAATAATACGTATCTATTATTTTTCTCTTAAACTAAGTGACAAATATAACACTGAAACGTTACACTAAAAAGCACGAGCTAGTCAAGTCCCTGTCATTGACAAAATAGCCAGCGAGAAGTCAGCGAAAAATATACATATTTGTCGTAACACGAATTTTATCCAGTCAGTTTTTGGCCGTAAAAAGAATTACCTGGAACTTGCTTTCTTTCCTTGTAATATTATTCAAATATTGACCAAGCGCTAAAATTATTTTCTGAATTTCGACAAATATGCGTATCTTTAGACAGCATTCTGTTGTGTGTTTTACTAATTTACAAATTACCGCCTTCTAATATGGATAGATGGCGCTAATCCTAAACAAAATAAAATAGCCGGAACTATTCATACACATCTGTGCAATAAGCGCCATCTAGTCGATTTGTTTGTTATGAACAATGATCGGAATAAGGTGTTCCACGTATATAGATACATGTATAGACATAGCTACAAGGAGGGACGTAGAGGTGTTAAAACCACCAAATATTATTCAATTAATTACTTTTTCGAATTCTGGATCTTCGGCAATGGTTTTACTGTATCATAGGATAAACTACTGACCTAGGAAGTCGAATTTGGGTTTGAAAGTAATTCTAATAGTGCCTTGTAAAAAAAATGCAGAAGATAACGGACAGCCTTGTCGTTCCGTCAACGTAATAGTCAATATGCGGGGTTCGGTGCAATATTCAAAGCTAGGGAGGGGCGGAGTGTGACCATTCTCGCTACTTTTTTATTCTTTGCTTTGGTAAAAAATCAGTTATCTACGGCATTTTTTTACATGGTACCATTAGAATTACTGTAAAATCTAACCTCGACTTCCTAGGTCAGTAGTTTTGTATTACGATGCAGTAAAACCATTTCTGGAAATCCAGAAATCGAAAACGTAATTAATTAATATTAGGTAGTTTTAACAACTACATGTCGGTCCTTGTAGCTATATCTATACATGTATCTATGTCGGTCAGTGAGTTGACGCAGATGCTTGAAACTTGTGAGGAGTATGCCGTGGCACATGGATTAGAATACAACCCGAATAAAAGCGAGGTCATGGTGTTTAAGGCGGGTAAAATCTAACCGTATTATGTTAAATAGAGTTCCGTTGAAGATCACACATTAAGTATCTTTGTCATATTTTAACAAGTGATCTAAACGATGATCTGGATGTTGAAAGGGAGCGCAGGGCGTGGCGGTTCGGAGTAATATGCTTGCCCGCAGGTTTGCTCGATGCTCCTACGATGTTAAAATAACGCTTTTTAAAGCTTATAGTCAATCTTTTTACTCGAGCAGCCTGTGTGTTATGATAGGACTACCAAGCTGGTGTAGTGCATCGAGTATGTTTGCTGTGGGTCACACGGACAGCTTCCAGGCCATCATGCGCAAAAAGATTGTCTCGCTGAATTATTCGCGTGAGGCTCGGTGCTAACAGCATTCTAAATGCTATAGCGGGAAGGTATGATTGTCCTATCCTGAAACATTGGATAGTGTAAGGGCGTAGCCGAGTTTGAAATATAATTAAGTTGTACTGCTTATTACTAACCCTGATATAAGTTCTTTTACTAACATACTATGGATATTTAATGGTCCGAAATAAAGAATTATTATTATATATGTGGTACACCTTATTCCGACCTTTGGTCATGAATTTAGAATAGGTTTGATGAATTGCAGCTTGTCAATGTATAACAAATTAGTTACAAAAAAAGCTATTTGGTACTCGTCGCGACATCTGGTGCACCAATAGGTACCAAATACCCAACTACGTTGTCTTGTATCGCGATTGGCAGTCCTCAAGACTTATTTGTCCATGCTTCTCTTAACTTAAAATGACAAATCTAAAACATATCGTCATCCTGTTCACTATTCTCCTAAGAGCCAGCAAACTACAATAGGGAAAGTGCTAAACGACCAATATACATTAAAATGTACTAAATATACTTATATGCTTCAGGCTCAAGTCGACCCCTCCTACGTAAAGTATTGTATGTCGAAATTGCCAAGTTTACAGGGCAGACTTAGACTTCTGAATTTACGCAGTAATGGTCACATTACTGCTTAGCGGCAGAAATAGGTAAGGTAGCAGGCAGTACATCCCCGGACGAACTCTTTTACAAAAAGCTCTACTATTACTAAAGTCATAGATGGTTGATTTACAATGAAATTGTATAGCATAATTAACGTACAAACTAGATACGATACTCTCCGGTAGACGCTGTTTTTTGGCTCGTATAGAGTTTGTATGTTACACAATAGAAATAAAATTCATTATGCCCTGGTTCCGCGGCAATATAAATTGAAACTTATTAGGGTCGTATTCTAGAACTCTACTCAATGCTCAAGTCAGGATTTGAGTATGGTTTAAAGCACTCGAAATCATACTCAAGTCCCTGCCATTAGGGTCGTATTTCCAGTGCTTGTGTTTCCAGTGCAATCCTGACTTGAGCATTGAGTAGAGTTCTAGAATACGACCCAGAGACCTTATTAACGCTGCTGCATTTGAAATGGCCTTAATATGGGCCTGAGTGTCTGACCCGTTGTTGAAAATAAATTGTTCAAACATTGTCGTTAAAAATATACAATTTAAATAAAAAATAGCGTCTAACAAAATACTGAAATAACCTTAAATCTAATACTTTATGTACAAAACAAAGGGTGAAAGTGCACGCAATGTCAATGTGCACACGATGTCAAAGTGAAAGTGAACTCAATGTCAATATAATGTCAACTATATATTTACTGTTTACGTATTAAAGTGACTACGTTTTGATCACACGTACTATCATACAGGATTATTTGTAAAATTTTAGCAACCAGAACATTACCAACATCATACACAACAACTTTCGTTCCACAACTCTTTTATGAAATGTAATAAGTTAACCCAAAAACAAACTTTTACATTTTTGTCGTAGTATCTGACACTTTTTAAATCAGTATGTCGGTATTGTCAGTATTTATTTGGTGATGACCCCGCTGCTGCGTTTTGCATTAGAGTGGTATTTACGCCAGAGCTTTTTTTTTCTACCGCACAGAGTTGTCGCCGTTTACAGCGATCTATTTAAGTTCTCATAAATTATGAAAAGCAAAGCATGGAACAAAAGTTGTTGTTTATGATCTTAGTGATAGAGTCCAGCGAGGTATCGGAGCATTCTCCTTCCGAATGTGCTATTTTTCTTACAAAGTATACGGAATAATACTTCAAAAACCCTTTCGTTTTGGGTCAAGACTTTTAAGGTTTTGAAGTCAAAATAATAAGCTATGGTTGGATACCCTCGATACAATTTAAAAAAAATTTAATATTTCATAAATTAAGATCAGATTGGACATAAATTTTCGTATGCATCTGTAAGAGGTGCATCATAGTTGTGCTAAATAAGACTGTACACCCTATCATGTTCTGGCCTATGATGACGAATAAATATATTGATGGATTGATTGATTGATAAAAAGAAATGACAGTTGTACCTTACAGAGCGCCGTCTAGTGAGAAAAATTACAGTACTTATTCCATACGTGGGTACCTTATCTAAATTGGAATCTTATAAATTTATTACATTTGATCTCAATGGTAACAACGTTACGAATTTGCTTTGGGAAAAATGGCATCCAGTATTAAAATATCACATCATATTTATCGCGCTAAGTTTTCTAGCCTGTGACGTTGCCGTCTGTGGGAAATCTGGCAAGGCTGCTACCAGTAATGTTTTACGCTAACTTGACATTAAAACAACAGCAAGATCGAAACATCGGGCACGTCCATAAAAATAAAGGCAGTTTTTTATTTACAATAATACAGCAATAAGTATGCCTTATTGACGTATGATATTTAATAGGTATGTGTGGCACAAAACACTCTGCCTTTAAGAAAGTCGGTAACCAGCTCCACAGAGAGCACAAAAGTGTCATGGCACCCATAAACAAGATGATAATTAATATTGACGATTGATAGGATAAAAGAGGTTAATTGAACTTTAGTTGAAAATAAGTTTTAAATATAGTATTAAATTAAAAATAACAACGGTTAACAGTCCATACTACCTCAGTTCGAATTTATTTTTTCCCGTACTAATACGGTCCATTTAGCTTGAGTCGAGAGGTAGGCACACCACTTTAAATCCATTTGAATAATGTATATCGTATGGAATACGTGTTCTATTTACATATATATAATAACGCGTACACTCAACATAGCCCCGCACTAGGGAAACCCTGTGTCGCGGGTGCCATGGACCCACACATAGACAACCACAAATTACACCCCAACTTACGAGCGAAATAAATGTAGGCCATACAAATATTTCTCCCGACCCGGGAATCGAACCTGGGACCTCCGCGTGGCAGTTCGGCATGGTAACCGTTCGGCCACACAGGCAGTTAAATTGATTTTTTTTTTGCAGTTTTTTGGCAGTTATTTAGTTCAGTTGATTTTAAAAAATCATTGGTATGTGTAATGTAACTATTGAATACAGAATTTTCTTGTAAAATTTCGAGGTAAGGCTGTGTTTTTCCTATCGTTTTCACACCGTATATTAATCAGTGTATATCTTCAGAATTGTAGTATATATTTTTTCCGAAGTGATTGAGTCAACAGTTTCACTGTTGTATTATGGACTCTTAACGGTACTTTTGACTCGGCCTTTCTTTTGGTCGTCGTAAGTTCGCTTTGTTCGGCCCTTACCAACTTGCCAGCTCGCATTAAATCAGTTTCGTCAGTATCCTTTGATTCGTCCTCTTTAGATGTCCGAACCATCAAAACATCCAATTCTCTATCTTTTTCACTATATCTTCCTCGCCGTAGTGTTCTCCCGTGGTTCTATTTCAATAATGATTTTTTTTTCTAAATTTGCAAACTAAAACTTCCCCCGAATAATTTCAAATTAGCCTCTTTTAACCTCCTCACGCTTTTTTGTCACTTATTGTGACAGTTCTTATCAGTGATATGTCAAATAAAATATGCCCAAATACACTGTTTTAAATATTACTTAATTAAGGAATATGTTACGTCTAACAAGTTACTATTGAACCTTCAAATTTTGGCGCTCATATTCACATTCGACATTTATGTTCATGTTTATAATATAATAAATTAGTTCTTTAAACTTCCGCATGTCCTGGATTCAATATTAACTTGTCAGACTTTGGGTATGTACTCTCACCTTGTTCTCTTTATCTCTTATTATTATTCGTAAATATCTCTTACGTACACTCAGACGCATATGGAATTATACAAACTATCAATTTGAAACTGCTTATTCGAACATGTGACGTAAGATATTTTCAAGAAAGAATTTTGACGCTACGTATAACTCTAGCTGTGATCCACAGTACACACAATGAAGGGTGAACTCGTGTGCTCGTTGTTATTTTTTTATAAAATTATAAAACAATACTAAATAAATGTAACTGGTAACATTAATATAAGTACTAATTCAATATGGTGGGTGTATTTATATGGCTACATAATAAAATAATTATGCAAAATTAGGTTATTTCTAAGCATTATAGAATGCAATGGCGTCTATTTGGGTAAACTCAAACTAAATTTAAGCTCAGTGCTCTCTTTTGTTATTAATATCAAAACAGAAGTGTGTCTACTCGTTGTAAATGTTATTTAAAATAATGGAGTAATATACAAATAACCAAAACGAGGTTTTCTGTCCGATGGTAACAGAAGATTCAGTGAACTTATATTGAATTTAGTTGGTTGGGTTTACAGGTACAGACACCAGCATTAACTTGTCAAATTTAAGAAATAACGAAAACTGAGATGATCATTATTTTTTGCACGCTAAAGTAACAATAATGTTTACAGCACCCTCACTACGACAGTGAAATTTATTGATATGAGTATTAGCTTTTGAGAGTATTTTGTCAGTGTTATTGGTATGAGTACCATAACAGGATGAATTTTGATATTTTAGTTGAAAAACAAAAATTACTCTTTTTCTATTTGTCTTTTAATTATATTTACTCTAATTTTTCTGTCCAAGCTATTTATGTACAACTTCCGTTTTCTACTTCAATATATATAAAAAAAACACTTTGTATTTCCGTGTGGTTATAATCGGAGACTGAAAAAGGCAAGAGCGTATTTACCTAAACTTTGATACACTTAAGAGTAGATAATACCTCCCACATCTAAACAGTTAATAAGTTACAAAACTTTTGTTTTATATGTCAAAAATATAGAACAAAATACAATATAATAATTCTGAGATTTAAGAGGGTGGTATTAGTATCTCTATGTGTATTAGCTCCTTGACGATTAGGTAAATATCCGATCTCTGTTTATATCTTTGTGTTCTTTTTATTAATATCCGATAACGGCGAATCTAAAGAATTGTAACTAATTTTAAATATTTTTTTGTTAACTTTAATTATAACTGTTTTTCTTCTTAGGCGGGGGTGTGGGCGGTTTTTCAGCCGGCGGCGTTGTATACCGTCTTTGGGACAAAGAAGCGTACAAAAACGAACCTCGCGGCGACAAGACCGTGTCGTAGTTGTGCCGTGGTGGGAGGAGTGTGTCGTTGTTGTTTTCAGAGTCGATGTCGAGACTGCGATGAGATGATTTCTGGGGTAGCGGTGGGGGCTCTTCGTCGTCTTCTCTCGAGTCCGTGGTACCTGGGAATAGGCATTGATAAATTCAGTTTTAGAGGTTGATACCTCCGTGGTCGATTGGCTTGCATACCGGCTTTTCATGGTGTCGTAGATCTCCGAGGTCCCGGGCTCGATCCCCCGTACGCTTCAATGCAGTAAAACGAACTTTTCTATATTGTCTCGGGTTGGGTGTTCATGGTACCGTCGTTGTGTCCGATTTCCATAACACACGTGCTTAATTACTTATTTTGGGATCAGAGCAACATGTGACGTTGTCTTATAATAAAAATAACGCACACACTCAACATAGCCCCGCACTAGGGAAACCCTGTGTCTCGGGTGCCATGGAAACACACATAGACAACCACAAATTACACCCAAACTCACGAGAGAAATAAATGTAGGCCAAACAAATATTTCTCCCGACCCGGGTATCGAACCTGGGACCTCAGCGTGGCATGGTAACCGTTCGGCCACGGAGGTAGTTAAGCCCTGTATTTATAGAGATTAAAATTTATTGAGTAGCAAATTGCACACTACTGTGTTTTAATAATACCAAGTACGAGTACGAGACGAACAAGTCATGCGCCTGATGGTAAGCTACACGCCTGTTCGTAACAGTTGCAGTGTCATTTAGCTCTTTAAATCGCAAAGATCTGACGGGCACCACTGCGCCCGTCACCCTGAGACATAAGTTGACAAGCGCCTGTAATTTCACCAGCAATCTTACCCTTCCAAACCGGAACACAGTAATGCTTACATTACTGCTTGGCGGCATATATGTAGGTGAGGTGGCTGATAAATATGTATACCAATAAAGTTTTTTTTTGTTGTCCCTCTAAATCTGTGTTGACAATATTTTGTCTAGTCTATATCGTCGCCTTAGAGTGCAAACCTCGCATACGCGTTTTCACATAGTACGTCTTGACTGATTTTTGTTGCAGAAAAATTTGTAAACTTCTTGCTGAAATATATCTTATTAAAGTAATATGAAAGAAGTATAATTTAACCGATTAAAATGCTAATTATAATAGTGTACATTGTATATTAAGGACGGTATAAGAAATGACTAACGAGGATTTATTAGAAGGCCGAAGCCGAAGGCTGGGGGCTTTTATAACTCGAGTTTTGTATTTTTTTATCGTCCGTGACACATACAGTGTTTTTCATCACATTTGCGAGTAAATAAATACAATGTTGATTTCTTGTATGAATAAATATGGTTCACAACACAACAATTATGGTATTTGCAAATGGCGGATTTTTTTTATTTTTTTTATCAACACATGGCCAGGTCCATAGATAATACAACTCGAACTAAAGTGTCGTAAAAAGCAAAGGCTGTATAGCCAAGATGGACTGTAAAAAAAGTTTTATACAGAAAATAATTAAAATGAAATAAAAGAAATTGTTAATGTTAAGTAATTAAGTAGAATGTGGCTGAAGTGCAATTAAATTTCTGTTTAGATAACATTTAAAGCGAATGTTTTAATTTAGAACTTAACCCCCTTGCTTGACCTGTAAGGAAATATGTCGTGCTACAAATATAAAAAAACTCAGTACTGATCATGGCTGAAATGAGAAGAAAAAGGCCATCATACTATTTACGAGCAAGTGTGATGAAAACATTATTGCGTTTAATACAATTTACACATTTTTGTCTTCGTCCTGAAAAATGACATACGAGGCATTCACTCTAAGACGACAATATTGAATAAAAGAAGAGAACAGAGGAAGGGGAGACTCACCCATGGAGTCGCGGTTGGAGGGCGGCGCGGAACAGCTGCCGGCCAGCAGGCTGGCGCGCTGCGACTGGCGCCGATCGCGCTCCACCTCGGCGCGCGGCGGCCGCTCCGGCACCAGCTGGGGACGACGCCGCTTTTTTATAATACCAAATGACGGGACGAACAAGTCGTGCGCCTGATAGTAAATCACATGCCTGTCCATAACAGTTGCAGTGCCACTCAGAGCTTTAAATCGCAAAGATCCGAGGGGCCCGTCACCTTGAGACATAAGTTGACAAGTAACGTGTGCCGGAAATTTCACCAGCCCCTTATCCTTCAAAACCGAAACGCAGTAATCCTGACGTTACTGCTTGGCGGCAGAAATCGATAAGGTGGCAGTACTCCCCTGGATGAGCTCTTTCACAAGGAGTTCTACTGCTACTAAAAAGGCTGAGGGGTCTTTGCCGTTGCTGACGACGACGTGTGCTAAGATTTTTAAATACAGGTAACGAATGAAACTTGTACTTAGTAAGTCAATTTGTAGTTATTGCAAGGGTTCGCACGAATCGTTACCCTTCCACATTTATATGGCGAACGGCTATGGAATGGAATTCCCTGCCTGCAGACTTATTCCCTGAACGTTATAACTTGGGGCTTTTCAAGGCGAGAGTGAACAGGCATTATTTAGATGTGCATGCTACCTCGTCGACCTCTTCGACACTCCCCATCAGGTGGTATGGAGGTCAAATGCGCACATTTACATTTGAAACAAAAAATAGTAATAATTTTAAAAAATTCTGAATTTGATAACAAAAACAAAACCGACCTCACAACTCGTAACCTAAAAACGAACCACGATCTATTTATTTGAAGCCTAATTTGCCATTCTCAGAATATTGACCGCTACTGAGATCCTCCCTTTCCAACAAAAAAAATCATCAAAATCGATTCAAAAATGTCACGAGTAATCACGTAAAATAAACAACAACAACAAATAAAGTTGAATTGACAACTTTCTCCTTTGTTTGAAGTCAGTTAAAAACTTTTTGTTTAGTATTAAATTCTTTAAAGTTTTGACTTTTTTGACACATTTATAAAAAAAAAAGGAAAAAAAACATTTCTATGCAACATATCTAACATCATTATTCAAAGTGATATTATACTAGTTACTAGTTTCCGTTTATTACTTCTAATTAAAAACCAGACTATATCATGTCACACGTACATTTTGTAGAGATTTCTAAGCAATAAAACAGAAACTGCTGCCATTCACCTTTCTTCGGACGGTAATGCTTCATTCACACGGCATTGTCCTTCACGTTTTTTAACGTATTATAAACAGTATATATACTATTAGTATTAGAATAGACACGGGGGTGTTCACACGATATATTTTCATGCGTTTAAATGACGAATAGCCGCAGTACTCACACAACAATCGCCTTATGAACATGTATGTGATGGGTCCACGCTTTGTTGCACTTTTATATTAGCAAAGAAGACGCCAACGGCTTTGCCGCCGGAAGAACGATTCGTTCTGTGTACCGTTTAGGTTCTCTAATTTCTCTCAGAGATTAGTTTAAGGAGGCTGGTATCATCACAGTACATTTACTCAAATATTTTGTATGCATGTAAAAATATACATAATTTCAATCCATTATATTAACCTTAGAACTAAGTCCGAAGTCACTACGATTTCGTTTACCTAAGGTAAACGATTCTTTTATGGGGAACTGTATACGTTTTTACAATAAGATTGCGGTGTGTATATATATATATATATTAAATGTAAGTTTAAAACTTAGATTAAAAGTATTTTAATTGAAAAGTCATATTACAAAACTGAAGAGTATTTGTTAGATAAAGATGCATGGAAAGAACATGAGTATAGATTCCACACAAATGTGATTCAAAGTCCCTAGAGTTTGGGTTCATCCAATGAACCAAGAAGCAGTGCGTACAAACAAATTTGAAAAATTGTACAAAAATATCAGAAATGTTGAAAAAAACCGGGCCTTGTTTCCACTAAAGATAATATTAATAAATTGTCGTAATATCCTTGTATAAAATATAATTAATACAAAACATTTAATTACTAATTCATTGATGACTAAATGAATGAATAACTACATAGGTATTGGTTTAAATATAATATTTATTATTCATAAAACGTTCTTTAAAGGACGGACAGTATTGACTTAAAAGGTAAGGGCACTATTTAATGTGGAATGTCATAGTTATGTTTTGTGGCATATCATAACGTCATTGTTTTCTACTAAGGCACGAATGCAGTATGATGTATACTAATTTTGTACTTATGTAGTTTTTATTTTAATTCAGTGTGTCTCTGATTGTCTTCAATCTTCAGATTTGCCGGTCATTTTGTATTAATAAAATCATGCGTGCCCTTCTTCCGTAAGAAAGTTTAATACTAGACTACACATATACACACATAACAAGGTACTCTTTGTACTAGACCGCAAACTAGACGCCGCTTGTTTAATGTCTATTCGATAAAAAACGTATGACTTCGCACCGTGTGAGAGATGCATTAATACTATGCACACCGAATACGTTAAAGTTCATTCGAATTGCTTGACAAGTTCGTTGCGTATTCGATAAACGTATAGAGTAGAGCTGTGTGCGTTTTTTTGCAGGACAAACGCCGTGTGAACGGTTCTGTATCGAATGCATGGCCACTGTTTACCAACGCTGACGTGTGTTTATGCTTCTTTCTTGTGTAAATTGCCTAAGTACATATACTTACAAACGCGTAACTTCTAAAAATAGTAACGACAACCTAATCTACGCCCACATACTTTTTACCTAAATTCCCTACGCGATGAGGCAGGGGTCTTCTGTGATGGCGTCCACCCGGTATGACAGCTGATGCTCCAGTCTTTGTGAAGCTGACGACAACATAGTCTACTCTAACGTGCTTATACGTACGTCTTGTCTAAGCTCTCTAAGGGGCGAGGCAGAAGGAGTGTCCATATGTGACGTATTGCCGCTGATATGATTGCTGACGCTCACGTTGTTATTGATGCTGACGTTGCTCACGCTTGGACTGCTAACAGATCCGTTAGGGGCGGAATGTGAGGTGTACCACTGGCTACCGCTCGCCGGGGTGCCTACTTCGCTCTAGAATAAAATATTAAGCGATATTTATGATGCAATATAAATATAATCATGATTTTTAAGTACAACTGTGTGTAATTTTAGGCTCAACTTATATTGTCGCGAAACACATATGAATCTAATTTTTGTCTCTCAATACTCCTGGGTTACGTTCAGTTTACGCGCGAACATCAGAGCGATTGCAGGTATCTAGGGAAATGGAGCTTCAAAATTTTGGTACAGAAATGTAAAACGATGAAATAGGAAAAATAAGGCAATATCTATCTTCTGCGTACACTAATAGAATCCGCGCGTAGTGTTTCAAAAATTTTTGGCTCACCGATTGAGACTGCCGAAAGTGCCGCGCGTGTCACGACAGTGGCGTTGCTACTGTACTTGCAAATATTGTATGTAAAAATTAATAGAGGCTTCAGCGCTACTACCAGTAATTTTCAGGTAAGTTTTTTGTACTCAATTTTGGTGAACATTTTTATTATTTAATTATTCGAATATATCGTCGTGAAATATTTCAGGTTACCACATTCGAATATTAAATAACACTTAATGATGATAGGATGTAGGCTGACATCTTAAAATCGGCTGATACTGCACAGTGTTTGAAGACCCGCTTATTTAACCAATGTGTCTTGAATGAGACGTGGACGCTCACACAGAAGGCTGTGTACAGAATGAGAGTCCACAAAGAGCCATGGAGCGAGTCCCGAATTCCGAAGATGAACTAAGGTCTAAGACATAGGAGAACGTATAACGTGTTTAAAATGGAGCTGGACGTGGTGTGGACCGAATGGTGGCCAAGAAATGGATATAGAAACGTGAGACGTTCTGTAGCGAGATGGGTGGACGACATTGTCAAAGTTAAGGGCAGTGGATGGGTGAGACAGGCACAGGATCGTGGTGGATGTCATAAACTACGGGAGGCCTATACCCAGCTATGGGTGATGATGATAGTGGACATTATGCCAATTGTAAAACGTATACTGTTGTTGCGTGATTTCCCGAGACTACGCGAGAATTCTCCGGAAGAACCACTCCTTCTTTCAACTCATATCTACATTATATGCATCGAGTATATTGCCAGAAATAGAGAGGAAATGTCATTTAATTTGTTTGAAAACTATTCTGTCAAATCATTACGGTGACAACTGCGCTCCGATTGGCCAGCCCGAATTCGAAACAATTGACGGGTGTCGTCAATTGTTTCACTAGCTTTGCTATAATGGACGAAAATTGAAAAATTACATATTCAATATTTAATTAGCGATGAAATGTTTCCGTTTGTTTAGTAATTAGATGTTTTGATGTTTTTCCCACACCACCGAATGGAACAGCCCCCCATTGTCAGAGATATTATCTTTATTATAATAAATACAGAATATTTTTTGAATATACGGAGACATACACACAGGTCAGTTGTTGGCGCTGTACTATTTCAGCTTTCTAATTTGTGATTTGGGCGCAAACGAGAGTTGATATTTAAAAGTGATGTAAGGCCCATTTTTTTAGTTTTGTTTTAGTTGCCAGGGATGGATGGTCTTTATTTCGTCTCTATTTCTTGTTACATACTTGATGTTTGTACGTAACACGTAACAATTTAAAAACACTCATCATGGTTTCTGAAAGTCGAACACCGTGCTCATGCCACGAAGTTTTGCAAAGTAGGTACGAGAATTTAAAACAAGAGGCAGTAGATCGTTTGAGTAGTGTCACATATGATTCTTTATATTGTTTTTAAATAGTTATTTTTGCCAAATGGTTATCCCTTTGCACCTGTTATGTAACATTCTGACATATAAGAAATGAAACTATTTTTCCGGATTTAAATCGCGTATATTTGTTTTTT